AAAAAAAAATGCTTACAGCTGTTTTCTATTAAATAACTTTGTGGCTCTTCCTCGTGAAAGGGACCTGAAAAAGCTAGCCCCAGGGCTGCTCTCTCAAATCCCTACTGGGTGGGGGACTCTACAATAAAGTTTCTTTTAATTGGTTATTTGGAATTAACACTGCCACTGGGAGCCCTGTGGGCTGGGGAGGTCGCCAGGCAGGACTGGGAGTAGAGTTTATTTTTAGCTGCTACAGTGAGCCTCAACCTTATTTAGACATCGGGCAGGCAGGCAAGCTAGTGACAGGGTGAGCTGGAGGCTGCAGGCTGAAGGGGTCTCCAGCTTCTCTTACCATTGCTCTGCCCTGCCCCCATTGCTCTGCCCTGCCCACCCCCCCCCCAACCCCCGCTTATAATCCTTTCTGGGAGGCTAGAAATAGCAGCCCTTGCTGGCTGTCCTTAGTGCTGTGATTCTCTGCAACCTGGCTTGCTTCTCTACTGATACTTGCATTCTTCTTGCCCCCGGGGTCCCACAAAAGATAATTCAGAGGACCATGCTGTCCCTTCTTATTCTGGTGGTTTCGAGCTCAACTCATGGAATACTACAGCTCCAGGTTCAAATCCCCTGGATGACTCTAAGTGACTTACCCTCTTGAAACCCAAGCTGGCCCCTCCCCTTCTTTCCCCCCCCTCTCTTCTCTCTCTCTTTCTCTCTCTCTCTCTCTCTCTTTATTAGACAGTTTCTGCGGGGGATCAAACATAGGAGAGCCTCACACATGCTAGGCAAGCACCCTGCCAACTGAGCTAGAGCCCCAGGGCCTAAGCTGCTGCTTCAGAGCAGTGGAAATAGTAACCCACATCACCAACCTCATTGGTGCTGAGTATTAAAAGTGACTGAGTAGATAAAGAGTCCAGCCTGTCAAGGTAGATCCTGTCAAGTCTTGATCACTCTCCCCCTTATATTGAAGCAGTGTTGGTCAATGGAACCCAGAGCACACTGCTTCAGCTAGTCTGGCTAGCCTGCTTGCTCTGGGGATCCCTTGTCCCCGACCTCTAAGTGCCAAAATTACAGACAGCTTCTGCGCTCACCAGGCATTTACACCTGTGCTGGTTGTTTTTTTTTTTTTCCTCAAACTAGAGTCATCTGAGAAGAGGGAACCTCAGTTGAGAAAATGCCTCCATCAGATTGCTTAGTAGGCAAGGATGGGGACATTTTCTGGGTTACTGATTAATGTGGGGGCAACCAACTCAATGTGAGTGGTCTTGTAAGTAGCTTCCTCCAAGGTGTCTGCTTCAGTTCCTGCCTCCAGGCTCCTCCCTGACTTCCCTTTATGACTGTTACCTGTAAGTGTAACCGAACAAACCCTTTCCTCCCCAGGCTGCTTTTGAACATGGTGTTTGCAAAGGCAATAAACAGCAAAGTGAGTGCTGGAGAATCTAAACTCCAGTCCTCATGCTTGCATGGCAAATGCTTTCTACACTAAACCATCTCTCTAGCCCTAAGAATGAAGTTCTCTGCAAACCAGTTCCGACTCATTTAAAGAGGAATACGTACCTCTGAAAAGAGACCAAACACAAAAGCCTGTCCAATCCCAATGAAACGGCTCTGATTATCCATTCCCTGGGGGCCCCTCTCTAATTCCTGGGGGCCCCTCTCTAAGCAGCCCCTTGCATAGTTTTATGAACAATGCTGACCTGTGTTCCCTCTGCTTGCACATCTCAGTGAGTACTCACTCTCTGTTAAACTACACCCCTTAATCAATAACAAGTTGGACAGGCTCAGGTAGTGGGTTTGGGGAAGGGGATGGGGGGCACATTTCTGACCCCTCTACCCTCTGCTCCTAGATCTTCCAGACAGCTTAAGATGCTTCATTGCCATCAAATGTCCCTGATTCAAAGGTGCTTGGTGGTAGTACATAACTTATCCCAGCCCTTTTAGGAGGCAGAGAAAGCCTGGTCCAATGTAGTACATTCTAGGCCATCTAAACAAACAAACAAACAAACAAAAAAAGTGGATGCAAATAGCTCAGGCAGTTAAATTTTCCATACAACAATGAGGACCACAATTCCATCTCTAGCACTTACGTTTTAAAAAGCTGGGTGTGGTGGGTTATAATATAATCCTAGCAATAAGGTGGTGAAGACAGGTGGATCCTAGTCAGCCCAGCCTCCTTTGCCAGTTATAGACCAGTAGGTGACCCATTCTCAAAAAGCAAGAAGGAAAGTGTTTGAGCAATGAAAGCCAAGGTTGTCCTCTGGTTTCCACAGCTGGGGACACACATACAAAGTGCCTTAAAGAGGCAGGGTTGGGGCTTCTTCTTGTAACCCTGCCTTGTTTTCAAGTTGTACCCGAACTTGGGGTCCTCCAGCTACCCAGGGATGCCAAGCCTCCCTCCCTGTGCAGTTACTTCATTAAGAATTGCCCCCAGGGGGCTGGTCCCTGCTACTATCCTTAGATCCTGTCCAGGCCCTGATTAAAAAGATAGTGCAATGTTTTTTTAAAAATAACTGTGTTGTAACCAGAGGCCCCAGTAACCACAATATCCTGGCTGGCTACGCCTCTGGGGCTGAGAGCCAAGAGAAGTACTCTGGCACCCTGTATTCTGGGAGCTGAACAGCCAGGACAGGGTCTGAGTGGACCTGGGGGAGGCAGTCTTTCTAGGGCCTAACCAACTCCCCCTAGAACCATTCAAGTAACTGCTCCATTACTCAGGGTCAGTACTTTCCATCCCCTCCTCCCCAGTGACCTTGCATAACACCCATCTGACACATCTTGCCCTTGTCTACAAGATAAAGTCAAAACAGCTCACCCAGATCACTAAGACCACGTGTCTTCCCCACACACCTCGTTCACCCAGCACTCTGGCCACCCCAAGCCATTGAGACCCCTGAAAACGCCTCACAGTGATTCACTGAGAAATGCTATTTCCCATATAAGAAGAGCCCATGCTCAAACTGCAGAGCCCAGTGCTGCCATCACATGCTGAGGCAGCTGCCCAACCTTCACGCTCCCAGACAGACTTAGTCATTCCTTCTGCTTCCATGGTATTTTTCCATGCCCTGATCCATCATCTGTCCACCTGGACCAGATGCAATGATACTTCCTCCAAATATTTTGTTCAGCTTGCATAGTACAAATGAAGGAAGAGATGGGGGGTGTGCATGTGACAGAGATGGAGACCATTATTTTACATTTTACATGAAAGATTCCCAGCTTCTGTTGAAAATTTAGAAGACTTGGGAGTCAAATGTGATGGTGTGCCCGATGTTGGTGGTGCACGCCTTAATCCCAATGCTCCGGAGGCAGAGGCAGGAGGATTTCTGAGTTCGAGGCCAGCCTGGTCTACAGAGCAAGTTCCAATCAAAAAGGAAAAGAAAAAAAGGCAAAAAACGGGCCAATGAGATGGCTCTGGTAATAGAACTTGTCACCAAGCTTGATGACCTAAGTTCAATCCTTGAACCCACATGACAGAAGGAGATAACTGACCCATCCCTCAAGTTGTTCCATGATCTACACTCACACACACACACACACACACACACACACACACACACACACACACAGACCAATAGTTACATTTATTAAAAGTATTGCATTTACCATTATAATAACAACTCTTTATTATAATAATATTGATTATAATGATGATAAATATAATGCTTTTGGGGAGGGCGTTGGAGGCAGTGTTTCTCTATCTCAACTGCTCTGGCTGTGCTAGAACTCTTTATAGACCAAGCCTTGAACTCACATAACTCCACCGGTCTCTGCCTCCCAAGTGCTGGGATCATAATAGGAAAAAAAGAAAGAGGCTTGAGAGATGGCTCAGCAGCTAAGAGCACTTGCTGCTCTTGTAGAGGACCAGGTTTAGTTCGCAGCATCCACATGCAGCTCACAACTATTCTCACCTCCAGTTCCAGGGGCTCTGGTGCTCTCTTCTGACCTCCACAGGTACCAAGCATGCAAGCATCTACATATACACACATACAGGCAAAGCATCCATACACATAAAACAAATATAAAAAAAAAAAAGCAGCATGAGGTAAGTCAGTCACCAGGGTGTTCTGTACCATGAGGTATATGTGGAGGTCAGAGAACAACTTATGAGGGGGAGTCAGGTCTCTTCACCGTGTGTGCCCTGGGGATTGAAATTGAGTTGTCAAGGTGGTGGCCAACCCCTTTTACCCACTGAGCCTTCTCACCTATATTTTGGCTACTTTTATAAACATCCCCATGGTAGTTTGAATGAGAATGGCTCCCATAAACTGACATATTAGAATATTTGGTTCTCAATTGGTGGACAGTTTAGGAAGGAGTAGGAGGTGTGGCCTTGTTGGAGGAGGTGTGTCGCTGGAGGTGGGCTTTGAGATTTTAAAAGCTCCTATTAGGCCCAGTGCCACCACCCCTCCCCATCCTGTCCTGTCCTGCCCCCCCCATCTGCCTGCAGATCAGGATGTGGCACCCTCAGCTACTGCTCCAGTGCCTCCGAATGCTCCCTGCCAAGACGACAAGGGACTAAGCCTCTGAAACTATAAGCAGGCCCTCAATGACATGCTTTCTTTTATGAGTTACCTCGATCACAGTGTCTCTTCACAGCAATGGAACAGTGACTAAGACTCAGGGTTTCCTTATGTAGTCCAGGCTTTCCTGGAACTCACAGGGATTCCCACTGCTTCAGCCTCCCTGGTGTTTGGACTACAGGCATGAGCCACAATACCCAGCTCCCTATTGTTTTATACTCTGTGGAAGGGCCTTGCCTCCAGAGGTCTTGCGTTAATGTTAAGTCTCTTTTGCCAATATACCTTTCAAAGACTTTGTGGCCCTGACACTAATTTTCCAACCAGCACCTAGGACTCTGGGGCTGGTTTCGAAAGCTGTTATTGTCTTCCCACGTGCTGCTCTCAGAAATTACAGCCAGTGGCTCAGAGGAGACAGATAAGAGTTCTTGTCCCAGATTCTGACCCTATTGTCCCTATTCCTGCCGCATCCACCCGACTTGTCTGCTGGCAAGGTCGCTGCATCTGTCCTGAGGAGAGAAGAACATGTCACAGATCTTGTGAACTGGGAAAAACCATTGACCCAGCCTCATGGAAGCCTTACAATGAAAGTGGGTGTCATTTATTTGCAGGGTATTACAAACCTGGGTTTGGGAGAGCATTCTACCTGGGCTCTGGGCTTTACCACTAACATTGTCACTCTTCGGAGTATATTTTTATTCCATTTATTTATGTGTTTATTTATTGAATGTCTCTGTGTGTGTGAGTGAGAGAGAGAGAGAGAGAGAGAGAGAGAGAGAGAGAGAGAGAGAGAGGGAGGGAGGAAGGGAGGGAGGGAGGGAGGGAGGGAGACAGGGGTGGGGGGATGGGAGGATGTATGTGCATGATCCACCTATGGAAGTCAGAATATAAATTTCAGTTCTCTCTTTGCATGATACGGGTCCTGGGAACTAAACTCAGGTCATCAACTTAGTATCAAGCAATTTTACTCACTAAGCCATCTTGTCAGCCCACTTTTTAATTGAACTACGAATGTGAGCCAACCTGACTGATCTTTCAGCTTAAAAAAATATTAGATGGATTTATTTTTTTTGGGGGGGGGACCGTGTCCATGTGTCATGGCATACTTGTTCATTCTCTCCTTCCATTTGTGGGTCCTAGGGATGGAGCCCAAGCCAGGTTCAGAGGCAACTACCTTTACCCACTGAGTCTTCTAGCTGGGTTTACAGGATGTGGGTGCTGGGAGTTGAAGAACCGTTTTTGCACAAACAACACGGCTATATAGCTCAGTGACAGGGTATCATATAATCCAGCCTGACCTTGAACGACCTATATGCCCCCAGACTGTCCTCAAACTTGTGATCCTCCTGCCTCAACCTCCCCAGAACTGGGATCACAGGCATTCACCACCACACCTGGTTTAATTGTTTTTGTTCTTTTCCCTCTCAGCTCTTCCTCATCAGGGGGTACTTAAGAACCTTCTGTTGCTCATCAGGATCCCTCGCTTCTGGGCTTCTGGCGTTGAGCGCCTCTGGCACCTGCCCTGGCCCAGCCCCGGCCCCGGCCCCACGCAGGCCTGCTCTTCCGGCATTTAAGGCGCATAGCCGGCGCGGCTGCAGCTCTGGCTGGTTGAGAGTCACAACCGGCGGGACGCACAAAGCAGAATGGGCTGCAGGCACAGCCGACCCAGCCGGGGCAAGCGCGCAGAAAAGGTATTGGGAGCCGGGACACGGAGGTCTGCCTGGGGGGGGGGGGCGCTCAGAGGGATAACAGAGGACACCGATGGACAACAGTCGGGGGCTGGCACGGAGACCGGGGTTCAGAGACGGGTTGATCTGTCCCCGCCCGTGTCGAGCCAACCCGGCAGCCGGCAGCCAGATTGACACACTCAGCCCCAGGCAAACTGACGCTGATCTCTGCTTTCCTGGCGAGGAGATGACTGGTGTGCCTGTGGCAAATGGTCTAAAGTGTGGGACTGTCACCGTGTGGTTGAGGACTGGACTCTTGACCTCTCTGAGTCTTGAGCTAAGGTCTTAAAGCCCGCAATCTGAGTGGTCCACCGCGTTGCAGCGCCAGCATCACTTGAGACCTGTTGGAAACCTAACTCCCAGGTTCGCCCAAGGAGGGCTGCTGGACACAGTCTACTGCTAAACGGAGTTTCGCCTCGGATCACTGTGCCCTTTAGAGCCAGGAAAGCGGATCTGGGCCTCCTGCAAGCTCACAGCAATGCGTGGGTTGCCCTTAGGGTAGCTGGGAGGGGCCAAAGAGGGAGGCGATCTGTAGTCTCCTGCAGCTCTCTCCTCCCTTCCTGTCCCTCCTCCAGGGACCTGAAGCTGGGTTAGGGCCCAAGAGATTGACTCAAGTTTCTGCCCCTTGAGGTCTGATAAGCCCCAGGAGGTTGGAGCCCAGATCTAGACTGTGTCTTCTGAGAGGACTGCAGGAGGCCCAGAGAAGGGAACAGGGACTCTGGAGTCCTGGTCCTATTTCCTATTGCTCTCTGCCAGTCCCTCCATCCCAGCCAGGTGCGGATGGACAGCCCTAGAACCTGATCAGCCCTCATTGTGAAAATGACTAATTTTGCAATGAATGGCTGCTCTTCTGTCTGTCATCAGCTTATGTCTGTCTGTAGCTTTGTCAGTGTCTTTTTCTCTCTGGACACCCCCCCCCCCTTGCACTTCTGATGACTTCTTTTTATCCTTACAAATTTCTCTACCCCCACCTCCTTTCTTTTTTCTTTTCTTTTTCTTTCTTTCTTTCTTTCTTTTTTTTTTTTTTCTTTTCTTTTTTTGAGACAGGGTCACATGTAGCACAGGCTGTCCTCAAATTGGATGTGTAGCCAAGACAGGCCTTCAACTACTAATCCACCTGCCTCTACCTTCCAAGTGCTGGGATTACGGGGATGCCCCATCATGCCAGGCTGTATGGTTTTTATTTAGTTTTTGAGAAAAGAAAAAGTCTCAATATGTAGCCTTGGCTCCAAACTTTCAATTTTCCTTAGCTGCCCCAATGTTGAAATTGTAGGCACTCCTGGCTTCCAGTGGCTACAATGCCCTTGAGCTTGGTTGCCTCAAACAGCCTGGCATGTCTGCCCTAGACCTGTGTGCATGGGGTCTGTCCATCACGCACCTGTTAGCAGGAGAATGGGCTGCTTCTTGACTAAGTTTACACCTGTTCCTACTTCTCCTGGTTGATGCTTTTGCCTAATTTCTAATGCAGGTATCAAGTCCTGAGCACCTAATCCATCCCAGCAGGCTGTCAATACCCCTGGCAGATGGGACACCAGAATACTCAGGGGCCACAGGGTCAGACTGCAATAATGACTCACCCTGAGAATTTCACTTCCTGCTCAGCCTCATGAAGCCCCTGAGAAACAGGTTGAGTTATGGAATGAAGCTTCCCCACATGTCATATGTGAACACTGAGGCTCAGAGAGGAGTGTTGGGAATCAGATGCTAGGGTAAGGGGGCTGGAGAGACACCTCAGTGGTTAAGAGCATTCATCCAGAGGATCCAGGTTCAATTCCTAGCACCCACGTGACAGCTCATAACCATCTTAACTGTCAATAGTACTATGAGAACTGACACCCTCTTCAGGCCTCTGTGGGCAACCAGCATACATGTGGCAAGCAAAACACCAATACACAGACTTAAAAATCAAAACAAAAACCAAAAACATGTTTTTCCTAATTAAAAAAAATATATATAAAAGACTTGCTGGATGTGGTGGTGACTTTAATCCCAGCACTCAGGAGGCAGAGGCAGGTGGATCTCTGTGAGTTAGAGGTCAGCTTGCTCTACACAGAAAGTTCCAGGACAGCCAGAACTACATAAAGAGACCCTGTCTCATATATATATGACGACTGACTTTCTTCATGTCCCATTTAGCCTGTCATCCACTGCCACTCCTCCACCCTCCACTGCCTTGTACGGAGCATGGAGCAGGTGCCGAGGAGAGCAATGAGGGGCAACTGGGAGTCAGGCCAAGGCTTAGCCTGGCACGCAGCAGGAGAGCCTCCTGCACTGAGAGGAAAGCTTCTTGGGTGGGGAAATTTGGCAGGAGTTCCCCAATCAAAGCCAAGGGCTTGAGGGAAGGTGCAGAAAGCCCAGGATGTCTGGCCTGGTGGCTGGCAGCAATGCCAGTCTTTATAAGAACTTGCCAGACTTGAAACAGGACCCCAGTGGTTAGGACCTCCTTAGTACCTCTAGCACACAGATCCGAGGATCTGATGAGCTCACTGCTGACCAGGCACTGTAGACCTTACCGAGAGACCAAGCCTGGGACCAAGTCACCGCTGTCTCCGGACATGCTGATGTCCTGGGAATGGGAGCTGGAGATGTGGGTAGAAACCTGGCTTCCATCCACAGCACCACATAAACTGGGCATGACTGTAGATGCCTCTAATTCCAGAACTTGGAAGGTAAGGTAGGAAGGTCAGAAGCTCAGGGTCATCCTTAGCTACAGTGAGTTCAAGTGCCTGGTCTTCAAGCAAGTTCCAGGCCAGCCAGAGCTATACAGTGAAACCTTGTCTCAAAAACAAAACAACAGCAACAGCAAAAAAATTTTATTCCCCCTACATAGGCTCCCTTCTTCCATGTCCTATGTAGATAATTTTCTTTCATGTAGTATGTGTGTGTGTGTGTGTGAACACACATGCTACTACATGTGTGGAGGTCAGATAGCAACTTTCAGGAGTAGCTTCTCTCCTTCCTGGGGATCAGATTCAGGTTGTTAGTGCTGTCAGAAGTTAGCTTTACCCACTGAACCATCTCAAACACATAATAAAACATGTTTAAATGTAACAAATACATAGAACAGAAGTTATATTATACATATATATATATATATATATATATATATATATATATGACTTGGCAAACATTTGCATGTCCACTCCATTGGGTTATGATCTCCCATGGTCTTGCCTTAGGTCACAGATCTACTGAGGGGCCTTGCCAGTGACCTGGCTTCTCTGGTTTAGTGTAAGAGAGGCACAACATTGGCTCCTATGTCTAGGTTTCTTCTACAAAGTTGATGAGAGATTGACTGTACTGAAGACCCCAGCGGCCTGACTGGCAGGTGCTAAGACAGAATTAAAATTGTAATCTAAGTATGTCACTGCCTGTGGCTCACCAAAAGAAGCAAAGGAGTTTGTGGGGACAATGGACATTCATGTTTGCTGAGGTGGGCAGGTACATGTGGCCCAGGTCTGGCCTTGGAACCTTTGTTCTCAAGGAGTAAAAGCATCTGTTCTCCTCTGAGCTAGGATGCAGGATCTTGGCCACTGGGAGAAGCTACCCGCAGCCAGATTTCCATTTCTTGTGGGGAAGTGGTTGAAAAAAAAGAAGACTGTTGCTTCGGCAGCACGTATACTAAAACTGGAACGAGACAGAGATTAGCACGGCTCCTGTGCAAGGATGACACGCATGTTCGTGAAGTGTCCCATATTTTAAAAGAGAAAGGGAGAAAGAAAGTAGTGAGTTCCTCATTACTGGAGGGGTTCAAGCAGAGGCCAGATGTCATTTGGGTAAAAATAGTAGAGGTGATACAATCCCCAGATGGCAAGCATTTACAGGTCCACCGTGGAAACTTAATTATTCTTATCATTGCAGTTTAAGACTGTCTTAAAATTTAGAAAGGTAGGAAGAAATTTGAAAATTGCATCCAAGCTTACCATTAATAAATAGCCTCTACAAAATACACTGGACAAAATTCTCAAAGAATTAATAAGATTTAAAAAAAAAATAAAAACAAATAGCCTGATTTCCCCACATATGTCTTTTTTAAAGATTTCTTTGTGTGTGAGTGTGTGTGTGTAAGTGTGTAAGGAGGACGTGCCACAGGTATGCCATCACCCTGAATACATCTGTCAGGTCCTCAGGAGCTGTAATTACAGAAGGTTGTGAGCTGCCGACATGGGTGCTAGGAACTGAACTCCAGTTCTCTGGAAGGCCAACAAGTGCTCTTAACCACTTAGCCATCTCTCCAACCCTAAATCTGGGAATATATTGCATGTGGCTATCTTCTGATGCTCTACCAGGGGACCAGGGGCATTTTCCCATGAGAATTAGCCTGCAGCATCTTTTTTTTTTTTTTTTTTTAATGGTGACCTAAGGTCCTGGCCATTGTCCTTCTTGTTTAGCCGGTTTGTGTGTGTACATTGGTTCTTGACAGCACTCCACCTTTGCTAGTGATGGATTTCCTGTGTTCTCCTAACCAGGGGTACAGTGACTTTGTCCCTAGATCAGCAAGAGTCACATAAACAATGATATCTTGGCTGGGACTTGAAGGTGGGTAGGGATAAGACTGTCACTGGCTAACCATGATATGCAGGTAGGGGTCCTAGGCAGATTTGACCTTTCCCCCGGGGTTGCCAAAGGCTTGCTAGTCAGGGATCCTGAGAGAAGCTGCTGGCCTGATCATGCAGCAGCTGTCTTGTACCTTCTGCCCTAACCATTATTGACACATCATGCCGGCATGCACATGGCCTCTGTTCCAGCCATCACAGCAGAATTGGCCCTCATATGGCCTCTGAGCTAATGTGTTTGACCAAAAAATAATGTTCCATAAATCAGTAATTCGGAATGAATTCACTGCCAGCTTCCATATACAGAGTACTCTCAAAGCCACATTTCTGTGAAAGACTCTAGACTTGCCCACATCCCCATAAGCAAGTACCCTCCTTTCCTCTACTCTAGAGATAGCTCCTCCATAATGCTCATGCAGCTAAGTATATCAAACCTCCAACCCATTCCCTGTTCAAAATAAACACAGGCCAGGGTTGACAATGGATGAGATGGCAAGATGATACCACCTTATCCCTGAATCCCATCTATGGCATATTAAAGCCGGAAGGGCTCCTAGGTTTCCTATGGTTCAAGGTCTTCCTAATTTCAGAACCATTCATCCTAGATGTTTGCTGCCATGCCTTCCTTGCCATGATGGGCTGGCCCCTTAGGCTCTGAGCTAGAATGGATCTTTCCTCCTCTATGTTGCTTCTTGTCCTGCATTTAATTACAGTGAAAAAAGTCACTAAGAAAGGGTTGCACCAGGGCCTTGTACAAGCCCTGACATTGAGCTCTGTCCCACCCTTGCCTCGAGCTTTTGTAAACCAGTGTGCTCATAAAATATAATTTGATGATTAAAAATAGAAATAAAGGGGCTGGAGAGATATCTCAGTGACTGATAGCATGGACTGCTCTTCCAGAGGATCAGAGTTCTCTTTCCACCTCCACATGTGAGTGGCCCTTAACTGCCTGTAACTCCAGTTAGATTCAAGAGATCCTACATCCTCTCCTGGTACCCATGGGCATCTGTGCTCACACCCACATCCTAACACAGATACACACATATACATACAATTAAAAATAAAATACAACTTTAAAAAAAATAGAAATGATGCCCGACATGACAGCATACACCTTTAATCCCAGCCCTTGAGAGGCAGAGGCAGGTGGATCTCTGAGTTTAAGCCAGGCTGATCTATGGAGTGAGTCCCAGGCCAGCCAGGACCTGTCTTTAAAGAAAAGAAAATTGGGCATGGCAGTTCACATCTGTAATCCTAGCACTTAACAAAAACAAAGAAAAATAGAAATGAGGGACTGAAATGATGGCCAGCAAGAACACTGGCTGCTCTTCTAGAGAACTGAGGTTTGAATCTGAGCATTTGTGTGTGATGGCTCACAAACATCTGTAACTCCACTTCCAGAGAGCCCACAGCCCTGTAGGTACCAGACACACACAGTGCATACACAGACATGCAGGAAAAACACTAATATAGGTACAATTTAAGATTTTTAACATTATTTTATGAGTATGAATGCTTTGCCTTTGTGTACGTGTAAGTACCACATGCATACCTGGTGCCCAAAGAGATCAGAAGGGGATGTTGGCTTCCCTAGGAGCTAGAGTTACAGATAGTTATAAGCCATGTGGGTGCTAAGAATCAAACCCAGATTCTCTGGAAGAGCAGCAAGTTGTTTAAACCACTGACCCATCTCTTCAGCCCCTAGAGAATAATTTTTAAAGAACAAAATAAACTAAACAGGAAGATTAAGAAACTAAGTTTATCCCCAGAACGTTTCACTTATAGCATTATAATTAACATATTCACAGACTAATTAATAAAACATGATAAATATGAGAAATTAAGCTATTAGAAGCCATACATAAGCCAGTTCCAATCATGGATATACACTGCCATATTCCAGACTTATCTATGTATCACAGGATTTTATGTTTACTTTTTTCTGTACTTTCCCTAATTTCCACAAAAAAAAAAAAAAAAGAAAAAAAGAAAGAAAGAAAAATGCTGACTCCTGTGTAACTGGAAATAATTTGCATTATGTATTCATATTTAAGAAAGTGACAGGGGCCCCATGGGTGATTTAGCTCAGGGGCAAAGTGCCTGCTTACCATGCACAAGGCCTTGGGTTCAATTCCTAGTGTTACAGGAATGCAGAGGATGGGGAGCAGAGACTAGGAACTGCCTGGGAGGAGCCCCAGGTGTCACTGTGCAGGTGCTAGCCTGCAGAGGGTTTTGTCAGGCCCTGGGAAGGCTATGACCTTTTTGCAGCTGACAGATGTTTTTAGAGACAAGGTCTCCTCTCTGTAGTGGTTGTTATATGGAAGGACACAGTATTGCCTGAATTTGTGGTCTTGTTTTGGATGATATACTGTGACTCTAGAGACTGTGTCTGTTGTGTTTCTCAGATATAAAGCAAGAACTTCCTGCATTCGGAGCTCTGTGTTGTGCTAGATACTGCGGGGTATTTCTACCATTCTGAGGGAACTGAGAGCCTGGAAATTCATGCAGTAACACAGTTTTAAGTTTAGGATTTGAATTCAGAGCTGAGTACATCTAGAACCACAGCCTTCTCCATCACTTTGCTCTAGCTAGTATTTGAGTGGTTCTATGCTGATTGGAGCATGTGATCATGTCTTTTATTCATTGTCTGGTTTCATTTTTTTGTTTATATATAAGCATATGTTTATATAAGTGAATACCACGTGAATGCAGATTTCCAGGGAGACCAGAAGTTATCAGATTGACTGGTGCTAGAGTTGCAGGCAATCAAGAGCTAGCTACCTGATGTGGGTGCTGGGAATTGAACCCTGGTCCTCTGGAAGAGCAGCAAGTGCTCTTAACTATCAAGCCTCTCTCCAGCCCTGGGTTGGTCCTATTTTTGTTTTGAACTCTTCATGTAACTCTGGTTGGACTTGAACCTGAAATCCTTCTGCTTAGCCTCCTGAGTGCTGGGATTATAGGTATGTATGCCACCCTGTCAAGGTGAAACCTGGCTTGAAATGCCCCCATGAGGTCTCAATTTCCTTGTTTGTCATAGCTAGAACTTCGAAATAGGTTTTTATTTGCTCCGTGTGTGTGTGTGTGTGTGTGTGTGTGTGTGTGTGTGTGTGTGTGTGTGTGGTGTGTGCATATAAACATGTATAGACCAATGCAGTGGCACACAAGTGGAGGACAGAGGACAACTAATGGCAATCAGTCCTCTCCTTCCACTATGTGGCTCCTGGGGATTGAATTCAAATTGTTCTCTTTGGTCACAAACTCCTTTACCTACTGAGCTATCTGCCCTACTTTGGCTATTTTTATAAGTATCTCATAATCATTTTGTCAAGAAGAAAACCTTTGGGGCCAGGGAGTTGGCTCAGTGGTTAAGAATACTTACAACTCTTCCAGGGGACCTGGGTTCAGTTTCTAGAACCATCAAAGCTGCTCACAACTGTCCATAATGCCAGTCCCAGGGGATCTGATGCCCTCTTCTGGACTCATCAGGCACCAGGGATACACATGGTACACAGATGTACATCCAGGAAAAATACTCATACATATTAAACAGATAAATAAGTAAATAAACTTTTAAATTTAACTTTTTAATTTAAAAAAATTAAAATTTAATTTTTAAAAGAGAAAGGAACTATTGGAACTAGTGAGATGGTTTAGGAGGTAAAGGTGTTTGCCTCCAAGACTGATGACCTACCTCATTTTGACCCTAAGGATTCATGGTAGAGAGAAACGATTCCTCAAAGTTGTCCTCTATTCCCCACATATGCATTGTGGCACACACACACACACACACACACACACACACACACACACACACACGCACACACACACACACACACACACTAATATTTAAAACAAGATTTAAAAAAAAGGGAGCCCATAATCTTGGGACAATTGCGGTACATTGGCTAGCACCCATAGAGCATGCAGCCACTCTCACTAAGGGTAGTGATGACAAGAGCCAGTTATTGTGCTGATGGATTCAACGCCCTTCTATGCCCATGGCAGGGTACGATTGGGTTGTTGAACTAATTCTAGAGAATAAACAGAGGGAGAAAGAGCAGAATCACTTCCAGACACATCACCTCTGACCTGCTGACTTCCTGCTTACCATTTAGTAGTTGGTTCAAGACACTTAAGGTCTCTCAGTGTAAGCAGGGGCCTGGTATTGTTGAAAGTCATAGCTGCTCCGTGTACCTCCTCACTGTGTAACCCGTGATGACGCCTCCACAGTGGAAGGGGACACAGGTGAATGAGAAAGCTTTGATTTGTTTACATCATTCAGTATCTTCAGCTGAGACAAAAGATTAGATGGTAAATACAACTACAGCTGAGTACAGTGGTATTCTCCCTTAACCCGAGAATTTGGGAGATAGGGGCAGGAAGATCATGAATTCGAGGCCAATCTGAGTTACATGAGACTATCTCTTCAAACAAACAAACAAACAAAAAAGGTGGGCCCTGGTGTCAAATGCCTTTAATCCCAGAGCTTCAGAGGCAGAGACAAGCAGATCTCTGAGCGTTCAAGGCCAGCCTGGTCTACAAAGTGAGTACCAGGGTGGGCTCTGAAGCTACAGAGAAACCCTGTCTTGAAAAACTAGAAAAAAGAAAACAAAACAAAGAACAAGCACGGGGATACAGAGATGATTTACTGGCTAAGAGCACTTGCTGCTTTATCAGAGGACCCAAGCATCCATAACTCACGGCTTACAACTCTCAGTAACTCAAAGTCTAGGGGCAAAACACCCTGGACCTAGCCCCATATGGATACTCTTCTAGCTCCAAAAGCACCCATATGGATGGCGTGCGCATGCACACACACACACACACACATACACAGACACATAAATAGAAATAAAGCAAACAGGCTGGGCAGATGACTCAACGGATAAGGGCACTTGCTGCCAAGGCTGATGACCTGAGTTCAATCCCTAGGACCCACATGGTGGAAGGAGAAAACTGATTCCCACAGGTTGGCCATTGGCCTAGACATGTGTGAAAGACACACACATCCCCACACTTGTTAAATAGAGTGTAAAGTGATTTTTATGAAACATTTTTGAGGTGTAGCTCACTGGTAAAACACTTTCTTGGCATGCTGGGAGATATTCAGAAGTTTGAACGTCTAGGTTTGGTAACAAGTGTGAGAGCAGAGGCCTCCATGGCACCTCTGTGGTACAGAGGCTTGAAAAATTATTTGGATATAAGACATGCAGGAAGTTTTACATAATGACCAGGCTGTGTTAGTCAGGGGTCAAAGGTCACGGTCATGAGGAAAATGATATAGGAAATTCCGATTAAAGCCACAGCCTGGAGTTTCCTGTTGTTCCTTCCCAGCTGTTGCGAGCCCTTCCCATCTCTCTGCCTCAGTTTCCCCCCTTGCTGTTGAAGCAGTGGGGAAAACCGTGGGCAGGTGTACAAGTACTTTCTCACCATTATCCAACTGGCTGTCTTTAGCTGTGCATAGGAAACATACTCAGTCTTCAAGATTCTCAAGTTTTGGATCTCTGCAAATGAACGTGTATAGTTTGAAACTGATTACGTTTTTTTCTTTGCTTTGTTATGTTGTTTCTTTGAGAGGATCTCATGTACCCTAGGCTGGCCTCAAGCTTGCTATGTAACTAAAGTTCATCTTGAACTTCTGGACCTTCTGTCTCTACTGCCCCAGTACTTGGATTACAGCAAACATCACGTTGTCTGGCTTTAAATGGATGGCTTAAAAAAGAAAACATGTTTGTTTCCATCTGTGTGTGCATTGGGGTGGTAGGTGGGTGGGTTATACTCATATGCATATGGGTGCCCACAGAGGCCAGAAGAGGACATCAGGTCCCTTGAAATAAATGAGTGCTAGAAATGGATCCCAGGTTCTCTGGGAGAGCAGCCAGTGCTCTCAACCTTTAGCCATCTCTCCAGGTCCCCAGGGTGGCTTTTTAAAAGAATTGTGGGAGCCCATGAGAAAGCAGAGTATGTGAAGATGCTGCTAGCAATGCTGAAGACCTGAGTTCAGTTCCCAGACCCCAAGTGCTGGAGGGAGAGAAACTAATTCCACAAGCTGCTCCCTGCTCCATGAACCATGGCTGGTGCACACCCACAGAGGTACACACACACACAAATAAAAGTTATTTTATTACATTTGTGTATGGGAAAGAGTACATACATGCCACAGTGAACATGTGGAGATCAGATCACAGCCTGCAAGAGCTGGCCCTCTCCTTCCACTGTGGGGTCCCAGGGATCAAACTCAGGTGATCAGGCTCAATAATCCAATAAATGTTACTTTTAAATTTAAAGTATTTGGGCTGAGGAGAGGACTTGATGGATAAAACCCTTTGCCATTCAATCAAGAGGCTATGAGTCCAAATCCCTAGAACCCATGTAAAGACAGACTTGGTGGTGCATATCTGTAATCCTAGCACTCCTATGGTGAGTGGCAGGAGAAATCCTGGGTCCTTGCAGACAGGCTAGCCTGGAGGATGCAGCAGAGATGAGACCCTGTCTCAAACCAGGTGAAAGATTATTTTTAAGATTTATTTTTATGTGAATTCATACACACATACACACACGCCGCTGTCTAAGGAAGACAGAAAGAGTTAGATCCCCTGGAGCTGGAGATAAAGGTGGTTGTAAGCCACCACGTGTGGATGCTAAGAACAGGACTCAGGTCCTCTGGAAGGGCAGAGAGGACTCAGCCACTAAGCCATCTCTCCAGTCCAACAAAAAATTCTTTTAAAAGAATTTCTGCTGGGATCTATTTGTTCAGCAGACAAACTAGAAGGAACTATGGACAAGGAGGGTGCTGCCTCAACTAGCACCAGAAAGACAGGAACTCACATCCTCTGGGAGCCCCCAGAACACACTGAAACATTGTTTCAATGAACTTTCCAAAGCCTGCCTTTTTCTGCAAGTGTGAGTCAGATGTGCACATCTGTGGGGCTGTGGTGTGTTTTGGTAACACAACTGTCCTGATGTTGCTGGACCCACCCCTGACCTGCAGCATCATTAACTGTAAGACTTATTTGAGTGAGGAACACCAGTGCCTGGGGGCAGGGAGAAAGGAGCTGCCCCCAGGGCATACAGGTTCTCCTGGGACAGTTGTGATCGATCACTGTCCTCTGATCCTTGCCCCCAGAGTGCAGTGAGACTGCCACACAACTCAGGTGTGGGACAGTGAGACTGGCTGCAAGTGGTCAGCTGAGGGAAAGGGGGACTGACTGCTCCTGTTCTCTGGTCTCTGGGGGGGGGGCAGATCAGGAACCCAACAGCATAAAGCAGAAGTGAACCATAGCCTTTAGAACTTGAGCATCGAGGCAGGGGTGACAATCGTGTAGACCAGCAGAGACCTGTCCTGCCCCATTGTACATGAGCAATAAAAGACTCCCATGACCCTTTCTATCTAGACAGCCCTCTGGTAACTTATCTGAGCCTAAGGATGACAGGACCTCCAGGGCCTGCTATGTCTCATAGGGCTTCTGTCCTGCCTCACCATCTTTCCCATCAGTCATAGAGGAAGTAGGGTGCAGATCATGAAGCTTCAAATAGCCCCAGGCTGTATTGTGAGCAGTTGAGAGACTGTGTGCTTTAGCCCATCCATCTCACTCCTGACCCCACTCTTCATTCTAGGTAGAAGAGACACAGACAGAACTCCTGGAGACACTGGACAAAGAGGGAAGGACCCTGGAAGGAAGGCATGAGGAGGCTGGGCAAGGTGAGGACTGAGAGGGCACAGGAGGCTCCTCAGGGGGCCCTTGGCCTCAGAGGGGTGATGGCATTTTCCTCGGGGTGTGCCTTTAACATTCTGTCACCAAGCTCTGCTTTTCTTTATTTGAGCGGCCTCCCCACCACACCCATTTTTCTTTCATTTTAAAAGCATCTACAGGAAGTCTATCCATTTTAGGTGGGTGTAGCAGCACACGCCTATAATCTCAGCAGTTGGGAGATGGAGGCAACAGGAGGATCAGGAAGTCAAGGTAAACCTCTGCTACACACAAAGTGGAGGTCTACTCAGGCCACTCCTAACCATGTGTCAAAAAAGGAAGCGTCAGAGTCTAGAAAAACTAGGCAAATGAAACCAGTCATTTTATAAGCACCTTCCATTCCTGCAATGATGACTCCTAAAAATTATGGCTAGGATGGGGCCAGTAGATGGTCCCATAGATAAAAATGCATATGGCACAAGTGTGAGGATCTAAGTTCAAATCCCCAGAACTCATGTAAAGATGGACCACAGTGTGTACCTATGATCCCTGCTCTCATATGGTAAGATGGGAGGTGGAAGCAGGAGAATCCCAGGATCTCACAGTCTAACTAACCTAACGTCTGCAGTGACAAACAAGACCAATATCTGAGGATACCCTCTGACCTCTGCTTGTGTCTGTGCTTAACAAACACCACATACATGTAGTGATGTAAGAGAAATTATGGCTAGGATAGTCAGGTGTGGCTCATGGCTTGCAGCCCCATCACACATAAGGCTAAAGGTAAGAGGACCACTATAAGTTTGAGGCCAGTCTGGGCAACATAGTGAGTTAAAAGCCAACTGAGATACACAGCAAAAACTTGTCTCAAAAAAATGAAACAAAGGCTGGAGGGATAGCCCAGCAGTTGACAGTATTACTGCTCTTCCAGAGGACCCAAGTCTGGTTCCCAGCACCCACAGCTAGAAGCTTACAACCACCTGAACTCCAGTCCCAAGGGAACAAATCCTCCCTTCCAGCTTCCACAGGTTACTACAGTCATATTGTATACCACAGACAGAAAGACAGACAGACAGACAGACCACACACGCACGCACACACACACACGCACACACACACACTTGTCATTTTCTAAAGTTAAATCAGTTTTTGTCATGCTCTTAGTTTTTAAATAATTTAGAACTGGAATGACTAAGTTCATGTATATTTTTTCAGATTAGCAAATCACACCTATGACATTGGTATGTGTGACACTGGTAACGTTTAGTGCATTCACCATGCATGCAATCATTACTACCACTCAGCTCCAGAACATTCTCCTCACCCCAAAGAGGAACACCCCAAAAAGGAACACCCAGCTGCAGTCACTATGTATCTTCCCACCAGCCTCTGGCAACTGCTAACCTACTCCTTGATTTCATGATATTGGATAGCCTGGCTTGCTTCACCCAGCCAGATGCTTCCATGTTACAACATACATCAGGACTCCATTTATTTTTTATGGCTGAGTAATAGTCCACTGAATGGACATACTATACTTGGATATACAAGCTGCCTCTGCCTCCAGCCACTGTGAATGGTACCAAGAACTTACTTGGACTGGTGTTTTCATTTCACCTCACTTTACATGTAAGAGGAGAATGTGGTATTTCTATACTTAACCTTTTGAGAAACTCCCAAACTCTTTCCATAGCAGGTATTCTACTTCATGCTCTTCCCAGCAAGGTCTGAGTGTTCCAGTTGCTCCAAACCTTATAAACGTATGTTGTTTGTCCATTGCTGTCATCACTGTGGTGAACGTGAAGGTGGCATCTCATTGAGGGTGTTTGTTTTGGAGTTTTGTTTGTTTTATTGCTATTATTTGAGACATTAGATCACTGTGTAACTCTGCATGGCCTGGAACCTACTAGTAGCCCAGCCTGACCTCCAGCTTGCAGTGATCCTCCTGCCTCAGCCTCCTGGTTGTTGGAATTAAAGGCATATGCCACTACACCCAGCCAATTTGTTTGCTTTTGAGACTGGATGTCACTAAGCCAACCAGCCTGAGCTCAGCTTCCTAAGTACTGAGGTCACAAGGGTGTCACACTGCAGAGGTATGACACTAAGCCTAGTTTATTGGGCTTTTGATCTATGTTTATTTAACTACCAACTGGTTGACATCTTTTTGTGTACTGTTGGCATTTGTATAGCTACTTTGGGAAAGTTATATATGTTTTAACAACATTGGGATTGACTTTGAAAATGAACATAAAGACTCCTGACCCTTCTCCAGAATTACTTCTTTTTTGTTTTGTTCTGTTCAAGACAGGGTTTCACTGTGTAGCTCTGGCTGTTCTGAAACTCCCTATGTAGACTAGGCTGGTCTTGAACTCACAGAAATCTGCCTGTCACTGCCCCCTGAGTGCTGGGATTAAAGGTGTGCACCACCACACTTGGCTTCTTATTGTCCATTGTGAGCATGTGGAATTCATGTGTAAATTTTACATCTTCTGTGTATGTGTGTGCATGCACTCCCATTAGTCAGATGTGTGTAGTGCCCTTAAAGGTCAGAGGAGAGCATCAGATTCCCTGCAGCTGGAGTTACAGGTGATTATGAGCTGTACTATGTGGATGCTGGGCACTGAACTCTGGTCTTCTGTAAGAGCAGCTTGCCCTTGTGACCCTGAGCCTCTCTCCAGCTTTTGTTCATTTCATTTAACACTGTAAAGGAAGGCTGATCCAGGCCAGGGTTCCAGGCTCATGCTTGTAATCCAACATTCCGGAAGCTGAAGCAGGAGGCTGATGAAATTTGAGGCCAGCCTGGGCTACAAGGTGAGGCCCTGTCGCATTAAAAAAAATGAAGCAAGTCTAGAGAATAACACACAAGGGTTTGCATGTTTCTTGAGAATCTAGACATCTAGATTTGGTTCTTAAAAGTGATCCTTTTTGTGAAGATTTGCTTCTCCGTTGGCATTCAATTTTTTTCCACTCCCAGTAACACAGTAACTAGGACAGAAGTCTGAACAAGTTTCAAACTCTTGAAACATTGACATTGGTACAGACTGTTTGGCAATAGAATTAGAACCCCTGGAAGACAGCTTAACATCAAACACACCCCCTTACAAGCCTGAACTGGTGGTGCTCAGCATCTGTCCACTCTGCCAGTTTCTGTCTGAAATCTTCTCTGCTTACATAGCTAGATGGGAAAACCTCACCCTGTGGGCATTGGTTTAAATTTTTTAGTAAAATAAATATATAGATAGAAAATAACCCACTATGGAGTCGGGGGGGGGGGGAGGGGAGGAATGCCTATGGGAGGTCTTCCCAGTTGTCAGATTTTTTTTTTTTTAAATAAAGTGTATTGCATTTATTTGTGTGTGGTGTGTGTGTGTGCATGCATGTGTGGGGGTGGGTGCATGCATACCACAACATTTTTGTAGGGGGGTCAGAAGACCGCCTTCAGGAGTCAGTTCTCTCCTCCTGCTAAGAGGGGTCTTGGGGAATCAAACTCAGATCATCATAATGAGATGCTAACTCAAGCAAATAAAGATTTATTTGGTACTTTTGTTGCTGATGGTGGTGGTTGTCATTGTTTGGACTACACAATGTATCGCTGTATAGCCCTAGCTGTCCTGGAACTTATTATGTAGGCCAGGCTATCCTAGAAGTCACTGAGAACCATCTACCTCAGTCTCTCAAACCCTGGGATTAAAGGCATGTGCTACCATACCTGGTTTTATTTGGATTTTATGTATCAAGGTCTGATATATAACCTAGGCTGACTTTGAACTTGTGGTAACCCCCCTATCTCAGCCTTCCAACTACTGGTTTACTGGTGAGAACCACTATATCTGGCTGTGGGCTCTGTCTTCTGTGGCCCTGCTCTCTGTGACCCCTTCCCTTCCCCACCACCCCTGTTTCACTTCTCTGCCTGGTCATTGATTGGCCTTTTCTGAGTCATCAATTAGACAGGCCTGGGGATTTTCCCAAGAGGCTTTGTGGGAAGGTGGAGTCGTAACTCATAGTGGGAGGGTGGTGCTCCAGTACTCTGCACTGCTCATCTGGGAAGACCTGATAGGGCTCTTTCTCCTGGACCCTGCCCTTAGAGACAACCTGGCCCCACTTCACCGCTGATGCAATAGACTTTGAGCCGCATACTGTCTTGTCTCACAGTCTCTCAGTTTTGAGGAAGGGGAGGCAGGACTGTGGGCATTCCTGCCACAGAGGCCCTGTCCTTTTTGAAATTTCATGATGAAACTTCAGTTGCATGCCTTTCTGCTGGCCAGCTGCAGCAGGACACCATCATGCCTGCTGCAGGATCCTTGCAGCTTTCCCTTAGGGACATGTGAGTGCCCACTGCTCTGGTGGGGCTCACTCTCTCTCAGGATAGGACATTTCTGTTCCCTGGGATTTGTTAAGCCCTTCCAATGTCTAACTCTGGTCCTGCTTCCCTCCTGTGGCTGTGATGAAACATTGACCAGAAGCAGCTTGGAGAGGAAAGGGTTGGTTTGGCTTATCCCTCCAGGTCACACTCCATCCTGGAGGGAAGTCAGGGCAGGAACCTGGAGACAGGATCTGTAGAAAAATGCTGATTGCTAGCCTGCTTTCTGGCTCTCATTTGCCCATGCTTAGCTAGTTTCTTACAATAGCCCAGGCCTCCTGCCAGACCACTGAGGGCTGAATCCTCCTGTATCAATTAACAATCATGGCAATGGTCCACATATAAACCCACAGGCCAGTCTGACCTAAGCAGTTCCTGGGTTGAAGGTCCCTTTTCTTTTTATTTTCTTTTCCTTTTTTGTTTTTCAAGACAGGGTTTCTTTGTGTAGCCCTAGCTGTCCTGGAACTGTCTCTGTAGACCTGGTTGGCCTAGAACACAAAGATCCACCTGCTTCTACCCTCCAGTTGCTAGGATTAAAGACATCCACCACCACCATATGGAAAGGTCCCCTCTTCTTTTTTATATAATTTATGTTTGTTTTATATGAATTGGTGTTTTGCCTTGTGTGTGAGGGTGCTGGATCCCCTGGAACTGCAGTCACAAACACTTGGGACCTGACATATGGGTGCTGGGAATTAAACCCAGGACCTCTGAGACATCTCTCCAGCCTCTCTTTCTTTTTCTGTTTTTTCTTTTCTTTTTTTTCAAGACAGGGTTTCTCTGTAGGTTTGGAGCATGTACTAGAACTCACTCTGTAGACCAGGCTGGCCTCGAACTCACACAGATCTGCCTGCCTCTGCCTCCCAAGTGCTGGGATTAAAGGTGTGTGCCACCACCACACTGATAAGCTCTCCTCCTCTTAAATGACTCTAGTTTGTATCCAGTTGACAATATACTCTAACCAGCACAGCTCCTGAGCCAGCCTGGGAAAGAGAAAGATGAAGAAGGTCATTGCTTGGGTCCAGTGGGCCCTGGGGTGATCATCAGAACTTTCAAAACCTCTAAACAGAGGTTTTGTGGAAAGTGCTTGAGTTTATAGGGATCTCCTTTCTTCACAGCCCTGCAGACATCGTGTGCAAGGGAGAAAAACACTTCTAATGTCTCCATCCAAGAGGCCAAAGCCTCATTTCAGGTGAGACGGGCCTGGCCACTTGGGTGTGGGTAGTAGAGAAATGACAAAGAAGCCACATGGAGCCCCAAAGCAGCCAAAAATGATGCCAGTGGGTTAAGGGGGACTGAGGTGCTTGCTTTCCATGTGTCCTGGCCCTTTGATGTGGTGACCAGATAGTTGGTTAAAGAGACTTGGCATGACATCAGTGTTGGCTTCCTTTCCTATGGTGTTATCTGCTTTGTGGGTCTTTTAGGTTAATTTATTATGTTACTTTATGTGTATGTCTTTGCCTGTATGTATGTCTGTGTACCACTTGTATGTCCAATGCCCTCGGAGGCCAGAAAAGGTTGTTGAATACCCTGAAAAGAGATATAGACAGATGTGAGCCATCACATGAGTGCTGGGAACTGAACTCAGGTCCTCTAAAAGAGAAGGCAGCACTATTAACTATTGAGCCATATCCCCAACACATCATCTTTATTAATTGTTAACTTGACACAGCCTAGCAAAGCTGGGGATACAGTTTCAATGAGGAATTATCTGCATTGGGTTGGCCTGGGAGGTATTGCCTCAATTAAGCTAATTAATGTGAGAAGACCCAGCCTGATGTGGGCAACACCTAACACCCAGGGAATTCAGAGGGTCCTGAACTATGTAAGGGCAGAGAGATCAAGCTAGCACAATCTAGAAAGCACATGGGTATGTATACATTAATTTCTGGGTTTTTTTTTAAATACTGTGAATGTGATATGATTAGCTGTTTAAAGTTTGTGCCTTGACTTCTCCACAATGATGGGTAGTAACCTGGAATTTTAAGTGGAAATGAATCCTCTTTGCCCCTATGTTATTTTATGTTAGGATGTTTTATCACGTAGAAACAGAAATGAAAGTAGAACATTTCCCAAGGACCATCAGGAAGATCTTGGAGATGGCAGGGATTGTAGAATGGGACTGGCAAAGAGGCCCAGGGACTATGGTGTCATGAAAGCAGACATTCAGAGAGACTTCCAGAGGGATGAGGTTTAAGCCTGGAAGATGCTTAGGATCCTGCAGTGAAGGGAATCCCTGGGCAGCATCAAGCAACTTGCTCAAAAGCATGGAGGAGGGGAGAAGACAGGGTGGCTATGGAAGTCCAGGATGTCAGAGTTGTAGAAAGGCCAGGGGGGAGGCAAGGACCATAGGGTGAGACTGAGCCTGGGAGCATAGGAAGATGTTGGCGTCTGCTACAAAGTGAATGGCTGAGGAGATCTCTATCAGGGAAAGGTACAGAGAGCGTGCCCTGAGGTTGAGGGTCTGGTGTGATGTTGAGCCCTCCCCCCAGCATGGACAAAAGTGGAGGATGAAAACCAGTTAAAGCTCAGCTTGCTGAGCTTTGAATGTAGGTTGGCATTGGTCTGAAGTGACCAGGACATCATCCCAAGAGTTTAAGGATCAGTATTAGTTAACTTTCTCACTACTGTGAGCAAATACCTGACAAGAAGCACCTTAGGGAAGGAAGAGTTCGTGTTGGCTCATGGTCTGAGTCATTCCATCGTGGTGGGAAGGCGTGACCATGGGAGCCGGGGCAGCTGGTCACGTTGCACCCATGGTCAGGAAGCCAAGAAGCAATGAGTACTGGTGCTCAGCCTGCTCTCTCCATTTTGTTCAGTCCAGGACCCCAGCCTTGGGCACAGTGCCACCAGATTCCAAGTGGCTCTTCTCTTCTCAGTGAACCTGATCTAGAGACATTCTCACAGGCATGACCAGAGGTCTCTGGATTGGTTCTAGATCCTGTCACGGTATCAATAAATATTAACCATCACAAGAGCCATTAAAGGCTATACAGTGGGAGGTGGAGCTGGAATGTTTCAAGCCCTCGTAGCAGTGGGTTCAGTCTGCTCTCCTGGGCGGTGTATGTTACAGGCCAGAAGCTCACTGAAGAACCCCAGTCCTTCCCATTTAACTGACATAATTAGAATCACCTTGACAAGCCAAGCTCTTTGCTGTCTCCTTCCTGCTCTCTTCTGCAGAACTCCTGTGCAATGCCCACCTCATCACAGGAGGCGATCCAGCCCCAGATGAACAGGGTGGAAGGGTCCATCCTTAGCCAACTCTATAAGAACCACATCCAGGTGGGTGCAGAACATTGGCAGGCCTTAATCCTTGGTGTTGTGGGAAGGTTACAGGTAGGCAACTATAGAAGGCAAGCCTCAAACCTGACACATCCCCTTCACGGGAGCCCCACAGCAAGAGGGTCCTCAATTCACACAGGAGTGGCAAACAGACGGTGGAGCATACAGCTGTCTGGCTCCAGAGAGAACTTGGGGCAGCTAGCAAACCTGACACAAGACAGCACATCAGCCTACTACTAGCACAGCCTACAGCTGTGTGCCCACCCAGACGCATGCCTCCAAGAGTGCCCTCGGGAGGAGATAAGAGAAATTCAACCTTGGCTGTGACAGGGAGATCACACAAGACTAATGCAGTGAGCTGCTGGCAGGATGGGGAGAGGACCAGGGGAGAGCCTGCTGGTTGATGGGGTCTCTCTGTGTCCTTCTCTAGGATTATGGGAGCCCCGGCCTGTTCTGGGAACAAGAGCTGGAGAGTTTGCACCATGTTATTGCGATGAAGAATGAGCGAATTCACGAACTGGAGAAGGAGCTCCTCCTCCTGGAGATGCTGGTCAGTGCTGGGCCAGCAGCAGGCTGCCACTTTCCAGGCATTTCCAGTTCATATTTATCCAATATCCCGCCCCTCACCCCCCAACCCACCCCTGACAACTTGGCTCTGCTGCAATTTGTGGGATTGATTTGTTTGGGTTTTTATTAGATTGATTTATTTTATGGACATGTGGGTTGGTAAGCACATGCCGTGGCATGCGTGTGAAAGAGGTCAGATGATAGCAGGAGTGTGTCCTCACCTTTCACCATGTGGGTTGCTGGGATTGAACCCAGGTTGCCCAGCTTGGCAGAAAACACCTTTTACACCCTGAGCCATTTTTTAAACTTTTTTTTTTTTTTTTTTTTTTTTTTTTTTTTTTTGAGACAAGATTTCTCTGTATTGCTTTGGAGCCTGTCCTGGAACTCGCTCTGTAGACCAGGCTGGCCTCAAACTCACAGAGATCCTCTGCCTCCCGAGTGCTAGGATTAAAGGCCTGTGCCACCAACACCTGGCTAAACTTTTTTTTTTAAGATTTATGTATTTATTATGTGTACAGTATTCCATCTGCATGTATGCCTACATGCCAGAAGAGGGTACCAGATCTCATTATAGATGGTTGTGAGCCACCATGTGGTTGCTGGAGATTGAACTCAGGACCTCTGGAAGAGCAGCCAGTGCTCTTAACCACTTAGCCATCTCTCCAGCCCCAAATCTTTTTTTTTTTTTAAGACTTATTTTTATGTGTGTGTTTTGCCTACATGTTTGTATGTGTACCACATGTATGCAGTGCCCACAGGGGCCAGAAGAGGGGGTTGGATCACCTGAAAGAATTACAGACAATTATGAGAAGCCATGTGAGTACTGGGAATCAAGCCTGGGTCCTTGGCATGAGCAGTCAGTGTTCTTAACCACTGAGCCATGGAACCAGCACTGTTTTGTTCTAAACACTCCAATAGCAAACATCAAGGACAATCCACCTTTACTCTGACCTTGTTTGCAGTTAGTGTCTTGCTCCATACAGTGAAAAGCTATCCCAGAAAGAAGCAGTGTCCAGGAGAGACACTGTGCCAAGTGAGACAGCTTTCTAAGCTCCTTCCCTGTTTGTTACAGAAAGAAAAGAATCTGATATTAGCACTGAAAAACACCACTCTTCGGCAGGAGGTTGAGGACCTACAGTTCCAAGCAGGGAACAGACTGACCATATCAAGGTAGCCATCCCCCTTTCTCCCACTCTAACCTTCTGCCAGAATTTCCAGCTGGGAGGGACCCGGAAGAGCCTGGGGACTGGATTGACAAGGACCTGTCTTGGGAACATGACTCCTGTTTCCTTGGGAGTCAGGAAGCCCAGTTTCTCAACATGAGAAAGAGGAAACAGGAAACAGGACACAATCTACCTGAGCAGGCATGCGTGCAACAAATAGGTCCTGAGGCTTTGTAAATGAGCGCCAATGTCCCATGTCATCAGCAGTTGAATACTTGACATATTTTCTGGTGGGAATCCTCCTCTGGATCCTAAGAGCTAGGTCCTGTTATCCCCGTTCAATGATGAGGAAACTGAAACTCCATGTCACCTAAGGTGACCCAGCTAGTGTGAAGCTGGGCCTGGAGCCACCCAGAGCTACACCTGTGAGGATTTGGCACTTGGTCAGCAAATAGAATCACCCTACACTTACAGGCAGGCTGAGGAGGGAGGTAGTTGGGGGAACACCTTGGAGAGAGCTGCTGATGTCCCCCCCCCAATGATTCCTGGGGGAATGGGTTGGTTCAAGCTCCCTCAGGCAACCCATGCTCTATCTGTACCACAGGCAGTTCCAGAAAGATCTACTTCAGGATCTGGAGAAGGAGTCACAGAATGGCCACTGCTGCAGCAGACGGAGAAGCCACTGAACCATCTGAGTCTTGGGAACCTGTTCCCTCCCAGACTCACCACTCCCTCCAAAGTCTGTGGAGAAGAGGGCAAGACTCCACTCTTCTCTCAGGATGGACCAGGTGGGTAGGAGGAAATATATATAGGCAACAACACCAATGGCAGAGGTTGGGCTACCAGAATCACCCAAGAAGTGCCTTCCCTTAGTTGGCCCAGGGAACAAGCAGGCAGAGTCTTTGTCATCCTCCTGCCCCCAAATCCTGTCCTCATGAGGGCATGCAAGACTTCTCCCATGGCAGCTGGCGCCGTTTTTGATCATCAGCTTTGCTGACAACTCACCGACCCATCAAATTCTTATTACCACAGCCCTAATTCTCCCTCAGAGGAAAACTGCAAAAGACATGATCCAAGAAGAAGGAATGCAGGACTGTTTCTGTTGAGATGGGGGTCTCACCATGTAGCCTAACTTTGAACTCAAAACCACCATGCCTCAGCCTCCTGAGTGCTGGGAACATGGGCATGTGCCACCACATCCAACCGGATAAAGAGTTGAATTAGCTGTAGTGCTAAGCACTGTAAATATTTTTTAAGCATATTTATCTAAGGTCTTAATGTGAAAATTAAATCTTTTAGTTAAAAATAAAACTATATTTTCATGTCCTTTTCAGTGAAGATATATTTCATTCTGTGTTGTCTTACTTTGCTGCCGCTGTGGTAAAATTCGCTGACAAGAGCAACTTAAGGGAGGAAAGCCTTATTTCGACTTGGGTTGCAGGGGGATAGAATTTTTCATGGGAACAGGAGCATGAAGCCTGCCTGTCACAGGGCATCAACAGTCAGGAAGGAGGGCAAGGCTACTAAGCCTGAAGGCCCATCCCCAGTGACATACTTCATCCCGCAAGGAAGTGACCTAGAGGTTCCAGAACCTTCCCAAACAGTGACATCAACTGGGAACCATGTGTTCAAAACGTGAACCTATGCAGGACATGTCATATTCAAACCACATTTGTTAGGACATGCTAATCCTTTCACATGCTGTGTTCTTACAAGGTATGCCTCACAGTTCAGTGAAGGGGAGTGGGTCACAACCCCTTTGGGGGTCATATATTAGATATCCTGCATATCGGATATTTATATTATATTAGTAACAGTAGCAAAATTGTAGCTATTAAGTAGCAACGAAAATAATTTTATGGTTGGTGGTTACCACAACATGAGGAACTGTATAAAAGGGTTGTAGCATTAAATGGTTGAGTACTGATGGTGTATTGGATTTAGTTTGGTATTCTAAGCTGCCCTAAAACAATTCTAATTGAAATACCTTGTGTAGCCATCTTTGAACAGATCATTTTCTTACACTGAATTTGTCAGAAGGGTTACCTCTGCTGGGCTGCACACTTTTTAAACAATTTATTTTCATCTATGTATATGTGCACCTGCCTCCCATGTGCTGGTGCCTGCAGAGGCCAGAGCTGGGTGTCAGATCCCCTGGAGCTAGAGTCAAAAGTGATATGAGTCCTTGACATGGGTGCTGGGAACTGAACTCAGGTCCTTCGGAAGAGCCATGAGTGCTCTTAATCTCTAATCGATCTCTCCAGTCTCTTGAGGGGGAAAAAAAAAATCCTGTGTGCTTTTGTGTGTATGTGTGCTGACACAGATGTATGCATGCCTGCGGAGACTATGGCCGGGGACAACAGGCTATGAGCAGAGAAGTTGCCAGGGAGCAGTGGCGTGGGAGGGAAGAGGCCAACCAAAATATCCAGTCCTTACTTCTCCAAAATGGCAAGTAAAGTTCTTCCCCAGGGTCCCCCTGCCATGGAGAATGGGGCCATTCAGATCCCTGCTCAGAAAAGAAACAGGGATATAGACCAGAAAGGGGGAACTGGGAGGGAGCATTGGGGTCACAGAAAGGTCACGGGGAGGGGCTAGGACAAAAATGAGTGTAGCTGTGGCAGGAAGTGAAACTTATGCTGACTGTTACTGCCTCTGCGTAATTTTTTCAAATAATTTTATTATTTTATGGGTTTTGTTTTTTGGTTTTTGGTTTTGTTTTCTTTTTGTTTGTTTGTTTGTTTTTGTCTACCTGGTGCCCTTGATGGTTGTGAGCCAACGTATGGGTGTTGAGAATCAAACTTGGATCTTCTGAAAGAACAGCTGGTGCACTTATCAGCTGAGCTATCTCTCCAATTCCTCTGCATAATTTTTGAGGGAAGAAAACCTTTAACTCATTCAGTCCAAGCTGGCCTCAAACTCACTATGTAGCCCAGGATAGCCTTCCACTTTTGATGTTCCTGCATTCGTCTCTGGAGGGCTGGCATTACAAGTGTGTGCTGCTACTACTACTTCTACTACTATTACTACGACTACTACACGCACGCACGCATGCACGCACATGTGCTCGCTCGATCTCTCATATGCACATGTACTTGAGGAGGTGTACTTGCAGGTGCTCATAGAGGTCAGAAGAGGGCACTGGATCTCCTGAAGCTGAAATTGCATGGTGGCTGCTGGGAGAGAACTCCAGCCCTTAATGATAGAGCTGGAAGTGCTGTGACCTGCTGAGCCAACACTTCAATCCTCCTCACTAGCTGGTTTTTGTTTGTTTGTTTGCTTGTTTTGAGACAGAGTTTTAAAATGTAGATTTGGTCAGCATGGAACTCACTCTGTAGACCAGGCTGACCTCAAACTCACAGAGAGCTGCCTACCTCTACCTCCCATGCTGGGATTAAAGTCATGACAACACCCAAAGTAATGTTTTTAAATGAAAGAAAAATAGGATTTTGTGTTTCATTGTCCATATGACATCTTGAAACATGGCCACATGCACTGTCCATGGTTATGTTTATGCTACATCAGGAGCTTGGTTCATCCAGACTCAGAACTTGAGTGTCCAGCTTCATACAGAAAGGCATGCTGACAATGACCTTTGATGTCCTTAAAAGCATTTTCCTTTAAACGGCATAGAAAGAACCTCCTCAAAGAGCAAACCACACAGTAAAACCTTAAATACTAACCCTGGGATGTATTGCTTACCTGGGATACACAAAGCCCGGGTTCAATCCCAGCACCGCATAAACCCAGTGACATATCACAAAACTATAATCTCAAGCACTAAGGAGGTGGAGGCAGGAGGATCAGAAGTTCAAGGTCATCCTTGATTACAGAATGAGTTTAAGGCCAGCCTGGGCTACATGAAACTTCATCTCAAACAAGGTTTGGGGAGACATAACACAGTTCAGAGTTTGTTTTTCTTCTTACAGCTTTACATGTTTTAATGTTTTCGGTTTGGGCTTTTTGCTTTTAGATTTAGTTTTTTTTTTTTTTTTTGCTACCCTGCACCTAAGGAGGGCTTGCACCTGGAGCATCCCTCCAGGTTTTAGGGAGACTAAAGTTCCCTCTGCAGCGCCTGGCAGCTAGCCTGGTGAAGGGCAGCCTCAGCTGGATGAACTTGGTCCTCACTGCTTGCTCTGCCCCCTGCTGGCTGACTCTGCCTAGCCCAGACCGGGGTTTAAGGAGGCTTTTGTCCTCCCCAGGCTCTCTGGTTCTTCAGTGGCTGGTCCCAAAGTTTGAAAGATGCTTAAGGAGAGCAATGGTTTTGTTTGTTTGTTTGGTTTTGGGGGTTTTATTGTTGTTGTTTTGTTTTTTATTGTTGTTGTTGTTGGGGTTTATTTTGTTTTGTTTGCTTTGGTTTGGTTTTTTTGAGACAGGGTTTCTCTATATTGTTTTGGAGCCTGTCCTGGAACTATCTCTGTAGACCAAGCTGGCCTTGAACTCACAGATTTGCCAGCCTCTGCCTCCTGAGTGCTGGGATAGAGAGCAGTGGTTTAACTGATGTCTCAAATTCAACAGTCTTGAAGGAGGTGCTAAAATTTGTGCAGACCACACACTCTAGCTGAGTTTGCAGGGGATAAGCCTCATATGGATAGTGTCTATGTCTCCCAGATATCCAGCATGCAGGATCTGCTCAATGCCCTGGGGAGTGAGCCTTTATGTCTTTGAGTGTGCTATAGATCCCAAGTCCAGCCTGGGGGGTCTTTGAAGGCTCTCAGAGCACCTGTTCCTCCCTACCCTACTGTACTTTTCACAGTGTATAGCTGTAGAAAAACCTGTGCGATTACTCTAGGACCATTTGCTTCTAGTCCTTCTGGGGTGAGTATGTGATCCTTAAAGCTGGACCAGGCCTGGATTACTCATACTTGACTCCCAGAGCCTTGGAAAGGCACCTTGCACTTTGTGGCCTTAGATTCTTAATGGTGAATGGATTGATGGAGTAAATGAGTAGATGGATGAATGGACAGATGGGTGGATAGATGGATAATGAATGGCTGGATTGGGGATTAGATGGGTGAGTGGATTGATGGGTAAGTTGACAAATGGATGAATCATTAGGTAGGTGGATATGTAGATGGATGGATAGAATTGGTAAATGGCTAGATAAAAGGATAGATAAGTGAGTATATTTATGGATGGATGAGTACATGGCTAGATCAATAGATGAATACCCCAGAATGGTTTTACTAGCAAGGACATGGCTTCATCTTCTTTTCTAATCCAAGGATTCCTGAAGGGACAAAGGATAGATGAGGACAAAAGGACAGGACCCAAATGATCCAGGATACATTATGAAATTGGAAAAGTCATTCCCCTCCTGCTGTCTAGTCTGAGATAAGTCACAGCATGGGGAATATGTGTCTGGGATAGACAGCCTTGAAAATAAGCCATCTTGAAATGTTCATTCATGTTCTAGAAATCATACATCAGTTAGTTTTCACTTGTCATGTATTTACTGTGTCTATACCAAGAATGAAATCATGGTGGGTGTGGTAGCACATACTTTTATTCCCAGCATCCAGGAAGGAAAGGCAAGGAGATTTCCATGAATTGGAGGACCGCCTGGTCTACATAGTGACTTCTAGGCAAGCCAGGGCTAAGTAGTGAAACCTTGTCTCAAAAGCAGACAAAAAAGTCAGGCAGTGCTCAGGAGGCAGAGGCAGGTGGTTCTCTGTGAACTTGAGGTCAGTCTGGTCAACAGAATGAGTTCCAGGACAGGCTTCAAAACTACACCACAGAGAGCCCCTTCTTGAAAATGAAAAAAAAAAAAAGACAAAACCAACAATAATGCATTAAGCAGACATTAATGATAATGGCTAGCTATTCAGGCAAGCTCCATCCAGGCTTAGAAGGATTTTTATTTTTTTGTGTGTGATGTAATTTGTGTGTTCATGCATATTTGTGTGTGTGTGTGTGTGTGTGTAGGCCATAGAACAACCTTGAGTGTCATCTTCAGGAATGCCATCTGTTTAGAATATTATTTTTAAGAAGATATGCTACATTTGTTTATGCTGTGGAACATTTGTTTTAGTGATGCAAAGCTGTGTTGCATTCTTTCATGTTGCATTTGTCTAACTCTGTAAACTGTGATTCTTTGCCTGTCTAAAACACCTGATGGCCTGATAAAGAGCTGATGGCCAATAGTGAGACAGGAAAAAAGGACAGGTGGGGCAGGCAGGCATGGAGATTAAATAGAAGGAGAATGTGTGGGAAAAGAAGAAGGAGCAGGATAGAACAGAGAGGGGGACATCAGCCACCCAGCCCTAGAGATCCTCCCATCTCTGCCTCCTCTGCACTGGGATCATAGACACATGCCTCTGCATCTGGATTTTATGTGGGTTCTGA